GGGGGGGAAGGGGGCCCCGGGGGATTGGCCAACCCTTCCCCTTTATCGGGTTTAAGGGGGGCCGATTTAGGGGTGGGGGAAACTTGGGGGAGGGGTTCAAGAGGGTTTGGCCCCCCTGCCCCCCCCCCTGGATTTTTGTTTTTGGGGGCCCTGGCTGGGGGGGAAAGGGGCCCGTTGGGCAGTTTGGTTTGGCCAGTTCCTGCCCCCCTGATTTAGGGGTGGGGGGGGGGCCGGAACAGGGGCTGCGCCTGACCGGGGGGGGAGGGGCCATGGGAGGTTGGCCGGCTGGCCCCGCCCCCGGTTGGGGTGGGGCAGGCCAATCGGGGGCTTGGCCACCCTGTGGGGGAGGGGCCGCGGGAGGTTGCCTGTCCAGCCATACTCCTGATTGGGGTGGGGGGCCCGATCTGGGGCCAGGCTGGCCAGGGGGAGGGGCTGTGGGAGGTTGGGGGAGGCGATCAGGGCCCTGGTTGGGCCGGTTGGCTGCCTCAGTGCGCATCATAGTGATCGTCGTTCTAGTCGTTCCGTTGTTCCGGTCACTTGGCTTTTATATATATAGATGATTCACATGCCATGACATTTATTCTTTTAAAATGTACAATTTGGAGGTTTTTGTTTTATTAGCTGAATTGTGCAAATCACTATTCCAGGGTTCTCTTTCAGTATCTTTTTTCCAGATCTTTCTCTGGGAAAGCTGCCTTCTTTTGCTATTAATCCTGCCCATTAGACTTCACTAATTACCAGCTGACTGTTCTGCATTTTGATGTAGTCCCCTAGCAGTGGTCAGCAAACTCATTAGTCAACAGAGCCAAATATCAACAGTACAACGATTGAAATTTCTTTTGAGAGCCAAATTTTTTAAACTTAAACTATATAGGTAGGTACATTGTTATTAACTTAATTAGGGTACTCCTAAGGCTTAGTAAGAGCCACACTCAAGAGGCCAAAGAGCTGCATGTGGCTCATGAGCCGCAGTTTGCCGACCACGGCCCTAGGGCATAAATTGCTCAGCAGTCTGACATTAAATTCTGGTAGGGGTACTTTTTGTGGCTACTCTTTGAGGTTTGTTCTACTGCAGGTGTGCTCTTCTTAGCTATCTCTTTTCTTGTTTCTTTTTTATTCCCCTGATGAACTAGATAGCCTATGACTTAGCTTGTTGCTTGCCGTGGTCGGCAAACTGCGGCTCGCGAGCCACATGCGGCTCTTTGGCCCCTTGAGTGTGGCTCTTCCTAAGCCTTAGGAGTACCCTAATTAAGTTAATAACAGTGTACCTACCTATATAGTTTAAGTTTAAAAAATTTGGCTCTCAAAAGAAATTTCAATCGTTGTATTGTTGATATTTGGCTCTGTTGACTAATGAGTTTGCCGACCACGGGTAGAGGAGTTAATGTTTTTAAGGTACCGTTAGGCTTGAATTTTCTCACACTGTTTAAAATAAAGTCAGTTACTCTTGGGAGAACTTCAGAGCTCTTATATTCTGCCTGTCCTCCAAGGCAAACTCTCTGAGCCACTGTTCTGGGCACAGGGCTGGGCAGTAGCCTCTGGCTTGCTACTTCAGGTGTCAGATGAGCAAACAGGAGGTGGGGTAGGGGAGTGGGGCCACAGCAACCTCAGCCTGCCGCACTGTGGTAAAGCTTCTGTTTTACAGCTGGAGACTGGGTGGAGAAAGGGAGCCTCTGAGCTCTTAGCCACCCTCACCGGGAATTTAGCCTCTTTAACTTGGAGTCGATGACCTGCCTTTTTCTGTGACATACAGTAAACTTTCATTAAGAGCTGAGAGGAAGCTCTGTTCTCTTGGCCACACCTTCTTGGAATGGAGCTTCTGCCAACCTGAGCTGGGGCAAGGTAGGAAATGGGTTATGGCCCAGATGCCATAAACTGTCCCTGGGATAGGGGAGGGCATGGAATGGAAATAGAATCATAGTTGTTTAATAGCTACTCACTGTGAAGAAGAGATTTTCTTATAGACCCTGGGAAACTAAACAACACATTATAAGGAGAACAGACCCTGGGGATAAGACAGCCAGGAGCTCAGATCAAGGACAGAATCTATCTGAAGTTGATAGTGGTTAGTTTTGTAGTAGTTAGTATGCTCTTGGGAATTCCCTTTAATATCACATTCACTTGTACACTATTGTAATGTCATATAACACCTGTCTGTAATAGTGATCTGTTATGAAAATTTACTTCCATGATACACTGTGTCTGGCTGCTTGATGAATTTCATACTGGTAAACATACATATCAAATGTAAGGTTTAATGGTAAAATATCCATGTATGTTTCTACATTTCCTTTGGAAGGACACACAAGTAACTGGTCATTGGTTGCCCCTAGAGAAGAGAATACTCTAAGCTAGAGGGCTCAGATGGGAAGTGTACCTTTTTATTCCATATGCATTTTGTAATGAGCACAAGTGTTACTGAAACAGTAGTTTTACTTACTAAAAGTAAGTAAAACAAAAACAACAAAGTAAACAGCAGCAAAAGGGAATAGAGGCAGATGCTCTGCCTATTATATTTGGATATAATTCTAGCCAAATATAATTTGGTGGCTGCTGTTTGGGTTTCTCACAATTATTAAGCTCTCCGTGTTGATGGATGTCTAAATTTGATTAGAACTTTCTTTTAGGTGGTAATTCTGTTCTAATACTTTATCATCATAATGTTCCCTCCAACTTCCAGATGATATAGAAAAGTTGCCAAGTTTCTCTTTGACATGAGATCTGTTCTTGATTTGGAATGCAAGTTAGTAGAAGTGTTGCTTCATGAATAAAGACTATGCTCCTGATTTATGAGTATTGTTCAACTACAGATAACTAAGACAAGATTTTTTCGAGGTACTTTGATCTAGATGGTAAAGAATTTACTAGAATCTTTTTTTCAAATTCTCATATGTAAAGTCTGAGTGAATAAATTCATTCTTGGTGTTTCATTTTAAAAGAATGCAACTTTAGCCTTGGCCAGTGTTTCTCAGTGGTTGGAGCCTCATCCTGTGCACAGAAGGGTCATAGGTTAGATCTCCAGTCAGGGTACATATCTAGGTTTGGATTTGATGCCTGGTTGGGGTGTGTGCTGGCGGCAATCGATCAATGTTTCTTTCTCACATTGATGTTTCTCTCTCTCTCACTTTCCCTCTTTCCTTTCTTCCCTCTCTTCTCTGTGCAGAGCGTTTGGTGAGCCTGAGGGGCGGGGGGGGGGGGGGGGGGGGCGGGGGGGTCGCGAAAAATATTTAAAAAAACAGCAAAAGGGAATACCTGGTCTCACTCCTAGGGGAGACTCTCGTGCCCCGAGAGATCCAGACAGCAAGCTGAGCCTTATTTATAGCCAGAGGTAAACAAGGTAGTGGTCACCATAGTTACAGTGTTCTTGTGAGTTTCACTTGTTTTGGCAGCACTTGCTGCACCTCCCCGCAACCCATTAGCTACCCAGATAGGATCTAGGGAGGGTCATAAGGTCAAGCCTAATTATGCTAAGGGGGCTGTGCCCTGTAAGCTGGGACTTGTTTGTGGCTTTGCCAACAGGTCAGTCCGAGGCTTAACCCTATAGCCGCTCCCTACACATCTCTCTCTAGAGTCAATGAGAAAAAAAAATCCTCCAGTGAGGATTAAAAAATAAAAAAGTTGGGTTATGTTCAAGTTTCAGGTTATTGTCATATTTTATTTTAAACATTTACAGGCTTTCTTTTTCTTTATGCCCTTTAGCCGGCCTCAGAAAGTGTGTTTATGTCCGTTTCTACCAGTGCGTCCTCTGCACATCTCTACCTACTTGTACATAATTCAGCATCCAGCAGAGGTGAGTAAGACTTCATAAAATGCACAATTTCAAATAGAATATTAGTATACAAGAGGAAACACAGATGAACATATTCATTCCTCCCAGCTGCTTAGCATTTCTGGAAATAAATCGATGATAAATGTTTTCTCTTTGGGAAAAAAATAGTTTCTTTTATATATTATATGGTAGTATGGTGTTATATGCTTTGGAGATGGAGAAAATAATGTTATTTCATAAAAACTGTCATTGAATAGTATAGAAATTTAGAACTTCAACAATATTGTGTGAAGGGAAAAAGATTTTTTTGAGTAAAGAGTTAGTAAAATCATTGCTATTTAAATTTTGATCATAGCTTATATTCATTGATGTCTTGTTAAAATAGAAGTACCTCTCAGCATATTATTTTATTTTTTGTTTTTATTTCTTAATTTTGATTTTTCAGTTAAAGTTGACATGCAATTTTATATTAGTTTCATTTATACAATTTAGTGACATTTATTTAACTTATGAAGTTAACCGATAAACCTAGTAAACATCTGACACCATACATAGTTATTACAATATTATTGGCCATATTCCCTATGCTATACTTTACATCCCCATGACTATTTTGTAACTACCAGTTTGTATTTCTTAATCCCTACCCCCTTTTCATCTATCTCCCCACCCCCCTCCATCTGGCAATTGTCAAAATGTTCTCTGTATCTATGTTTGTTTTTGTTTTGCTTGTTCGTGTATTTTGTTTTTCAGATTCCACATATAAGTGAAATCATATGGCATTTGTTTTTCTCTGTCTGACATTTCATTCATCACAATACCCTTTAGGTCAGGGGTGGGGAACCTTTTTCCTGCCAGTGCCATTTGAATATTCATAATATCATTTGCGGGCCATACTAAATTACCAACTTAAAAATATTTGGTCAAACATTGAATTAGCTCATCCCTAATGCCTTGGTAGGGCCAGACCAGATGATTTTTGTGGGCCTTACGCAGCTCCCAGCCGGACTTCCCTATTCCTGCTCTAGGTTTGTCTGTGTTTTGCAGATGGCAAGATGTTCCTTTTTTTTTTTTAATCCTTACATGAAGATATTTTTTCCATTGATTATTAGAGAGAGTGGAAGGGAGGAAGGAGCAAAAGAGAAGGAGAGAAAAAGAGAGAGAAACATCGAAGTGAGAGATATAATTGATTGCCTCCAACACATGCCAGGGGCATGATCAAACCTGCAACCAGTGTGCCCTTCACTGGGAATTGAGCCCTCGACCCTTTGGTCCATGGGCTGTTGCTCTAACCACTGAGCAACTGCCAGGGAAAGTCCTTTTTTATGGCTGAGTCATATTCCATTCATTGCGTATATGAACCACTTCTTTATCTATTCATCTATTGATGGACATTTAGGTTGCTTCCATATCTTGGCTGTTGTAAATAATTCCACAGTTAACATAAAGATGTATATGTCTTTTCAATTTAGTGCTTATTTTTTCAGATAAATACCTAGAAGTGGAATTTTTGGCCCTTCTTTCTCTCTTATTATACTAGTAGAGCCTTTAAAATTTTTATTTATCCTCACCTAGTGATGTGTTTATTAATTTTTGAGAGAGGAGAGGTGGGAGAGAGAGAGAGAGAGAGAAACATCAATGTGAGAGAGAAACATTGATCAGTTGCCTCTTATATGTGCCCTGACTGGGGATCGAACCCACAACCTTTTTTGGCGTATGGGACAACACTCCAACCAACTGAGCCACCTGATCAGGGCTAGCCTTTGTTTTAAAGTCTAATTTGTCTGGTATAAATATTGCTACCCAGCTCTTTTTGTTTGCTTGTTTCCATTTTCATGAAATATCTTTTTCCATCCCTTTACTTTTAGTCTTTGTATGTCTTTTTTGATCTGAAGTTAATCTCTTATAGGCACCATATGGGGTTTTGTTTTCTTATCCATTCAGCTGCCCTATGTCTTTTGATTGGAGAATTTAATCCATTTACATTTAAAGTAATTGTGCTTATTACCACTCTCTGCATTTTAGTGTCACAAAATGAATGTATAAAATAATTTTTTTGTTTTTCAATTAGAACAAATATGTATATTTTATAGTATACATGTTATATGTAAAGAGTTTCTGATTAATACTCTCCTATATTAGGAAGTGTATGCGTGTTTATGTGTTTGTAACTCTTGATTAACTGTAGTAATGAAGAGAGAAGGGAAGGAGGTCTTAGACAACCAAAAATTACATTAAAACAAAACTAGTCATAGTATGTTACCATAGTATGTGACAGTTCAGTGTAAACTGTCACAGCATTTAGGGACTCATGACATCATAGATTGAACCAGGTTTTTGAAGGACTAATTTTTAAAAAAATTTCTTAAGCCTATACCAATTGAAGACTTTAACAAAGATATAAAAGATATTAGTCTGTCTTTTTCCTTTTCCAAATGATGAAACACTTACTCTTTAATTACAAATTGTTAAATATTCCATTTATTGGGCAACCGTTTTTTCAGTGTTAACAATAGCGTATTTTGGTCAGGACTGTGACAGTTTGGTCACTAGCATTATTTTGTTACATTTAAACTTGCAACAGTGTGCAGCTCAAATTTACATAAAAGGATAGCTTACTGGCCATAACAGTTTTGACTAAAGCTTAACTTTAGATGGTGAATGCTACTATCATTTTACAGTATGCACAGTATGGTGTCTTTTTATTATTATGTGCTTCCAGACATAGATGGCTTTTAAAATGTAGGTGTTTTCATTGATTTGTGGCAACTTTAATGTTTTCAAATCCTTCCTCCCTTCTTCCTACCTTCCTTTCTTCCTTTCACTGTTAATTCACAATTTAGGTAATCAGTCCACAATTGTGTGCTCCAAATGTATCTTATGTGTATATAAGTACATCCATATTGTTTTCCTTATTGCCCAAGGAATTTTCCAATCTTAATTTATCTCAATAACACTGAGCTGCTTGTGCTCAATCTCAGTACACTATTTTCAATAAAAGAATGTACCAATTTGATGACTCCCTCTAAAAAGTGATTGAAAACCATTTGGATAAGCGGTAGGAGGTGGCTTTGGGAAAAGGAGACTTAGTGGCATGGATGATATGGAGGTGATATGATGGAGCATTTCAAAGAGTAGGTATATATATGTAGAAAATTACTTAAGAATGAAAACAAGACAGTCTCTCAAAAAAGCTTTACAAGAAAGAAATGTTAAACTGCTTGGCCATTTGTGAACAATGTATATGTAGCCATAATGATATAAACACTGTTTATTGATTTAACTAAAAATATTAGAAGCTCTGGCCAGTGTGGCTCATTTGGTTGAAGTGCCATCCTTAAACCGAAAGGTGGCAGGCTCGATTATCGCTCAGGGCACATACTCAGATTGCAGGTTCAATTCCCTGTCCGGGCACATATGGGAGAGTAGCCGATTGATGTTTCTCTCTTACATCGATGTTTCTTTCTCTTTCCCTTCCTTTTTCTAAAATCAATTAAGAGCACAATACAAAACAAAACATGTCCTCGGGTGAAGATTACAAAAAATATATTAGACGTGAGGGTAAGGGGTGATGTCAGAAAGCTGAATCCTCATTTATTATGAGAGGCTGTAGTTATAAAGGGCAAGTAGTTAAGAGTAAGGGCAGATTGTTTGAGTTTAAATCCTTAATAACTCTGTAATCTCTGTAACCCTGGGCAAGTTAATTAACCTCCCTGTTTTCACTTTTGTTATTAGTAAAATGTTCACGTTAAAACATACACTTCTTTACTGGTTTATTATGAATAGTAGTTAAATATATTTATAAAATGCATTTTGAATTATGTACATTAAAGTTAGTTATTATGGCTGAAACCGGTTTGGCTCAGTGGATAGAGCGTCGGCTGCGGACTGAAAGGTCCCAGGTTCGATTCCGGTCAAGGGCATGTACCTGGGTTGCGGGCACATCCCCAGTGGGAGATGTGCAGGAGGCAGCTGGTCGATGTTTCTCTCTCATCGATGTTTCTAGCTCTCTATCTCTCTCCCTTCCTCTCTGTAAAAAATCAATAAAATATATTAAAAAAAAAATAAAGTTAGTTATTATGATAATGGTAGTTTGTAGATAATTGATAAATTATTAATACAATAAAGCAAGAAATAGCAAAACATGCATTGTTTAGAAATATTGAGATCAATACTAAAAGATATAACTAGAACAGTTAAAGTGATTGCCTCTGGAAATGGTTTAGGGGAGTGTATTGGAGAACATTATAAATTTTTGGCACTATTTAATTTGACATATATACATGCATTAATTTGATATATATATATATATATATATATATATATATATATATATATATATGTCAAAAGTTTGGAAAGTGATTTCAGTATGTGTCAAAGTCTCCTAGTGATGGTCTAGAGGTAAGAAAACAGTATGAAGCACTGTAAAATGTCCTCTCTCACCTGTCTCCTCTTAGTTGCATATATATTAACTGCTCCAAATTGCTGTTTTCATATTTCCTTAGAACTCCAGCTTGCTTCATGTTCTTGAAAAAATCCCAGCAAATACTTAATCTCCTATTTTCTTTTCCTACTTTTTATTAGGTAGATGAATTTAGCTATTCTCAGCATCTTTAAATTTATTTTTCAGTAATAATTTATTATTATTTTAATCAATAATTAAGGAACCCAGGAGAGAAAGTACACACAAAAATGTCCCTAAAGGGTGTATATACGTGTGTGTGTGTGTGTGTGTGTGTGTGTGGTGGTGAATGGTGAATACTGTTATGACAATACTTTTTTTTTGCTGCTTGATCAATAAGTATATTATTGTCTGTATCTGAAAAATCTTTATAGAAAATTGTGACTTGGTTTATTATCTCTCAGCAGCCCGTTCCTGAGCTCTGAGGAAGCTTGCCTTCTTCTGAGCTACCTGATCTTTCTTCTGGGCAAGAGACATTTTGAGATGGTTCCACCTCTTATTTTTAACTTCTTTCTTAGGCTTCTTCTCATAGACTGGTTTCTCTCCTATAGCAGCATGAGCTTTCTTATACTTCTCCTCCATCGTGTCTGGAGTTATGTTGTTTTTTTATGTACTGAGAGAATTGTTTCTTGTAAGCATCTTCATCTTCCATTAGGTAATGCAGATATTCTGAAACTAGAGGCCCAGTGCACAAAATTTGTGCACTGGGGGGGGGTGTCCCTCAGCCCAGCCTGCACCCTCTCCAATCTGGGACCTCTCGGGGATGTCCGACTGCCAGTTGGACATCCCTCTCACAATCCCGGACTGCTGGCTCCCAACCGCTTGCCTGCCTGCCTACCTGATTGCCCCTAACTGCTTCTGCCTGCCAGTCTGATCACCCCCTAACCACTCCCCTGCCAGCCTGATCAACGCCTAACTGCTCCCCTGCCAGCCCGATTGCCCCCAACTGCCCTCCCCTGCTGGCCTGGTCACCCCCAACAGCCCTCCCCTGCTGGCCAGGTTGCTCCCAGTTGCCCTCCCCTGCTGGCCTGGTCCCGCCCAACTGCCCTCCCCTGCCGGCCTGGTCGCTCCTAACTGCCCTCCCTCCCCTGCCAGCCCGATTGTTCCCAACTGCCCCTGCCGGCCCGGTCGTCCCAACTGCCCTCTCTTGCCGGCCCAGTCACCCCCAACTGCCCTCCCCTGCCAGCCTGGTTGCCCGTAACTGCCCTCCCCTGCTGGCCTGATCACCCACAACTGCCCTCCCCTGTCAGCCATCTTGTGGCTGTGGGCGCTGCCATCTTTGAGGGTGTGGCAGTCAATTAGCATATTCCCTCCTTATTGGCTGTGGGTGCTGCCATCTTTGAGGGCGGGGCAGTCAATTAGCACATTCCCTCCTTATTGGCTGTGGGTGCTGCCATCTTTGTGATGGTGTAAGGTTCAATTAGCATATTTTCTCTTTATTAGATAGGATGTTCTGACCCATGATGTGCTTCTGATGTACTTCTGCATTGAATTTCTTGCTTTCTGAATCATAACCAGGGAATCATTTGGAACTGTGAGGGATAGACGAGTCTCTTTCCACAGCTCGCTTTAGGGACCCAAAAACTTTATTTCTAGTAGTAGTTCTGGCAAGCCCTGCACTCAAATGGCAGGTGAAGGCACCAGGTTTACCATCAATGCTTTCCACATTGTATTTGTCTCTGACACCTACATTTGGCTCTCACAGATCCTGTCCAGGCGAAACCTATGGGAAGCCTGTGGGCCAGCAGTAGGCCTGTACAATGTGCTGTCAGGCCAACCTGCACCCCATACTTTGGGAGTTTATGAGCAAAAGCTACACAACTATCATATCTCCTTTCAGATGGGCATAAGCAGTCTGACAAATGATGTGTCTGTTACACGAACTGTCATCCTATATTTGGGTGTGTTGTATTTATTTTTATCCTAGATTACCGAGCATTTCCAGGAATCAGTTTTACTCTCTCATCATCTTGTAAATCTCACTTGGTATTTCTTGAAGTAGGCCTTATTTTTGACAACGTTAACAAACCCCATCCTGTGGAAGAGAGGCCTGTGTCTGCAGTTCTGGTCCAGCATACCTTCAGTGGGGGTGAGGGGAAATACAATACTTTCTATTTGTGCTACATTACTGTTTTGTGTAGTAATTTGCTAGGTAAATTATATTCCCAAAGTAAAGTAAATAATATTTCATTATTTCACATACACAAAAATAATCAAATTATTCACTGCAAGGATCTATACAAGCAGTATTATATAAATTGAAAAAGATAATATTGGGTTGTATGTAGGTACACTGATGAGAGAGGGGCTCTGTTATACATGCGATCAAGCATGACATTCCCAGTTGGACCTGAGGAGCCAGAGAATGGCTGAGCACTATAGACCAAAATCACCAAGATAAGTGCAGGCTAATGCAGAATAGCTAATCACCTGGCTCTGCTGGGATTAAGGATAGAATTCCTGTGACAACAAGAAAGATTTTTAGTGTTAGATGTTAGGACATTTAAAAAAACACCACTTTTGATAGTTAATGGGATTTATAAATATGGTCACCAGATTTTTTCACTTTAAAAGATATTTTTCTTCCATTTCTATACTCTTTATTCTTTGGAAGTAAGGTTATAAATTCAGCCCATACTCAAGTGGGAGGGAGAAATTAAGCTCCACCTCCTGCAGTGGCAAGTATTTACATTTATTACTTGGAATTCTCCTGTCTCTTTTCTCCCATTTATTTGTTTATATCAGTCTGGATTCTTATTTTATACTTTGGGTTATAATTCAAATACTATGTTAACTTAATTTTGTTGCTCATATTGTTCTATTTTGGGCCATTGGGAGCTCTTAAGATTGGCTTCTATGTGTCATTGATATGCTCCATCGTTTTGTTTTTTGAAATCTTCCTTGCTTTCTGAGCACAAAGATCTAGGCAATTATCTTCAGGTAATTACTAATGGAATAAAAGTTTTTCAGAATAAATGATTCAATTTAGTTAAACACAAATTTATATTTTTCGTAATTTTAACTATGATTTAATATTATCTTGTTTTGATCAATAAACCTTTAAATATACCCAAGTAGAATAAAAATGTATACTTGTAGTATATTTACTACTGATAAATCAGAGAAATGATAGTTCTTTTTATTAAACTGTGGTCTGAAGTAAAAGACTTGTGAAAATTCTGTATAATGTTATGAATCAAATGTTCATTATAAAATTTTAAAAGTGTGTTTGTCTAAATAAAAATCTACAGTTTAATTTTTTAATTAAAGGAAAGCAAAGTGTTGCGGACAGTTCCTCTACTAGCAGCATGCCTCCCCCAGGACAAGTGTAAAGTCAAGATTGGTCGTCGTTTTAGTGAAGAAAGGTAAATTAACTTTTAGGGCAACTTAAAATGATTTTTCTCCATAGATCTTTAAAAATGATTTCTTTAAACTTACCCTTTAGACCTAGAATAGTGATGGTGAACCTATGACACGCGTGTCAGAGGTGACACACGAACTCATTTTTTTGGTTGATTTTTCTTTGTTAAATGGCATTTAAATATATAAAATAAATATCAAAAATATAAATCTTTGTTTTACTGTGGTTGCAAATATCAAAAAATTTCTATATGTGACACGGCACCAGAGTTAAGTTAGGATTTTTCAAAATGCTGACACGCCGAGCTCAAAAAGGTTCGCCATCACTGACCTAGAATGTGGTACATTGGAAGCGGTAAAAAAAAAATTAAGTTCTGCCTTTTCTCTCAAAATAATACAAGATAAAGCAAAACATAAACAAAAACATTTTCCCAAAACAGACCAAGTGGAATAAACAAAGGGATGATAGCATTATCCAAATTGCGTACTAATATATATTAAGCCTAAAAGACATATATTTACTGTTTATTTCATTTTTGTTTAGATGGTAGGGTACTTGTATTTAGTTCCATATTTTTATTTTTTACATTATATATATGAGATACATTTATATAAGTAAATACATATCTATCCATTTCTAGCTCATTAAGGCTTTTCTAACATACAGTGACTAGAACTATATTTAGTATCCTAGTTATAGGCACATCATCTATTTTCTTAAGTATAAAACACAATCTCCTGTCATATTTAAACTATTCTTTTTTGCCTGGCAGGTGTCGCTCGGTGATTGAGCATCGACCTATGAATCAGGATATCATGGTTCAATTCCTGGTCAGGGCACATGCCTGGGTTGAGGGCTCTGTCCCCAGTAGGGGGTGTGCAGGAGATAGCTGATTGATGATGTTTCTCTCTCATTGATGTTTTTATCTCTTTATCCCTCTCCCTTCGTCTTTGAATTCAATAAAAAAGGTATTTTAAGAAATGTCCTTTTTGATGAGGCCCAGTATTTTTATGTGCAGTTACCATTAGTTGATATCTTATTGACAGATCTATAATGTTCTTGGATCTTATTTTACATTGTATTACATAAACCATTATCATAAATATATGTTATATACTATATATATTTAAATTTTCTACCAGTCTTTTTATACCTTTGAATTATCTGTGTTGCTTTTCTGCCCATTCACAAAGCCTTCACAAATTACTTAGATCCTGTCTACATAATTAAATATATCTTTTGATGCAAAATTTAATTTCTCATGAAAGTATGGAGATTTCATTTTCAGTTAACTTAGAAAAATGTTAAGTAAGACTTGTACTAGCATGAAGCCCAGTGAATTGACCAAGCTTTTTCCTTACTTTATTATTTTAGCTTCCTTTATAATTTAGCTTCATATAATGAAAATAACATCATATTAGAACTTTATATAATAATATTTTTCTTTTCTCTGAAACTGTTGGTTAGGCACACTTTTCTCATATAGAATTTTCTATTGTAGTTTTTGCATAGCCTTGCCCACAAAGGAGAAATTTGCTCTGGGCTTGGTGCTGCTATTGGGAATTTTGCCATTTTGTTGGGAATGGAAGCAAGATCCAGAGCTTATCACATGGGGAGCAGCAACATCATTTACACTGTGACACTTCTTTCATACAGAGGCTCTTTATGATAGTTCCTCTATAATTCTGGGTGGATGTGGCTATATAGGTGGAATAGGGTCCTACTTAATCTCTCAGCTTGGATCTAGGTTATTGTATTGCAAAAGTGATGAGCACCTATGGTATTGAAATAGAAACTACTTGGGCCGTCTCTGACATTTTGGCTATGTAACCCCTCTAGAATGTGCTTGGGGATGAGAAGCTTGACACTTTTACAAATAGCTTATCCCATTTTGAGCCCATTATAGTAAGTAGTTCAGTTTTTTTCCATGGTGCCTAATATAGTGCTTACTCAGTAAATTATTATTCACCGATGGATTTTAAACTAAAGCTCATTGAGATTATTGACTTAATATTAATCTGGTAATATTAACTTAAACTTTTCCTAGAGTATGTGATATAAGCATAGGGGAATGATTATGAGGCATTACTTTTGGTATCCTTTATAAATGGACATTAAAAATACTTATTTTTAACTTTTTGCCTCTATTGTATAAGAAAACTTTTGGGGTTTCTTTTGTGTGTTTTTTTTAAACAATTGGGTTTTACGTATCAACCCTATATCCAGTGACTTTGTAAGTTCATTTGTTAGTTGTAGAAATTGTTTTGTAGATTCTCTAGGACTTTCTGTGTAAGTAGCATTAGCATATGCAAATAGGATCATTTATACTTTTTAAAAATTTTATGCCCTTTTTTTCTTGCCTTATTGCAATAATTGGGACCTTAAATACAGCGTGTGTTAGGAGTGGTGAAAACCAACATCTTTACCTTGATCCCAATCTCAAAGAACATTGTTAAAGAACATATGAAATTGGCCATACATTTTTGTAGATGCCTTTTACTGGTTTGAAGAAGATGCCATTTATTGTCTTTAATTGACTCTTTAATTTGTCTCCTTTCCCCTCAAGCTTGTTTTGTTTCCTGTAGTGTAGACAGAGGCTATCTTACTATACATCTCCAGTCCCAAAATGCTTTGATATATATTTTGGAATGAAGTTCAATAAGAATAATAAAACATTTTGTTACCCCACCAGGTAATAAAGATTTTTAAAAAAATTTTTTTAGAGATCCTGAACTTTCAACTGTTTGCCGGAAGTCTGGTACATTAATATTATATCCAGGGGCTGAAGCTGCTAATTTGGAAGAGTTTATATTAGATTCTCCTATTTATCCCTCCACAATCATCATCATCGATGGTACATGGAGCCAGGCTAAGGACATTTTCTATAAGAATTCCTTGTTCCGACTGCCCAAACAGGTAAACATAGAATAAAGACAAATGTATTATTATGTATGTTATATATGTTGTTTGTAAGGGGATACATATACATTTTATGGTATTTGTATAGGTGAGTGTGTACATAAATATCTGCATGCTTCTATGTGTGTGTGTTTGTGTTGGAGGGGTGTAGGTTTGAGATATCTGTGTAGAAACTTTCAAATTTGTCCTTCTTTCTCAGTTCCCACTGCCTAACTTCATCATAGTTCAGGCGTTTTGCTATATGAAGAGTTTCTCAGACATTTAATTAGAGACATCTAAGGATGATTTCTACTTGTATTAATGTTTTTATTGAGAATTATTATGTTTAAATACTTTTATTTGGTAACTAAGTTACTGTGTTCTTATTAGGATTGACTGAATTTTTATGAAATACTTTTTTGTATTCTTTATTATAAGCATATGATTTATCCTTCAATTTGTTGATGTAATTAATGATGATGATACATATCCTACTATTGAACTATTCTTGTGTTCCAGGAATGAACTCTACTTGGTCATATTATGTAGTCCTTTTTATATATTGCTGAAGCTTATGTTTTATTTTATGACATTGAGTTATTATTTATATGTTTTTTGTACTTTCATTGTCTGGTATACTAAGATGATATTAACTTCACCAAATAAGTAGGAGAGATTTTAGTATTTTTCTGTGGCCTGGGATAGTTTAAATAATATTAGAATTCCTTGCTCCATAAAAATTAGATAGAACTCATTGACAAAACCTTGTCCTGTTTTTAAATTGTTTCATACTCTTTATAGGTATTATTCAAGCTTTCTAATTCTGGTTGGTTCAGTTTTTAATAACTTTTATCTTTTCTAGGGAATTATTTCTTTCCCTTGAGTTAAATTGGTTGCCATATGCCTTTATGTATTCTTTATTTATTTTATTTTATTTTATTTTTTTATGTTAATATTTGCTTATCATGACTTTTTAAAAAAAAATCCTTAGCCAAGGATATTTTCCATTGATTTTAGAGAGAGTGGAAGAGAGAAGGAAAGACAGAGAGAAATATCGATGTGATAGAAACACATCGATTGGTTGCCTCCCACATAAGCCCCGACCAGAGCCTGAGCTGGGGAGGAACCTGCAACAGAGGTACGTGCCCTTGACCGGAATCAAATCCAGGACCCATGGTCCCAGGCCAATGCTCTATCCATTGGAGCCAAACTGGCTAGGGCTCTTTATGTATTCTTTATTACTTATTTTAACTTAAAAATATTCCTTTCTTCCTTCTAATCATATGTAAAACGACATACACATATTTTCCCCCATGAACAGACTCAAAAGAGGTTTATCTATTTTATTGCACTTTAAAAGGTATTAGACTTTAGATTGTTCTAATAGCTGTAATACTTTATTCTCATTTCATTAATTTGAGCTTGTATCTTGATCAGTTTATTTTGCCCTTTTAGCTTATTTTTTCTGATTTTTAAGATTTGTACTTAAGAGTACTAAATTCCTTTGTTTAGGTTTGTATTTCTTCTTCATAATAAAGGGAAAGGAGGCTGCAATATTTTTATTTATTTATTTATTTATTTTTTATTATTAAATTTTTATTGTTCAGATTACATTTGTTCCTCTTCCCCCCCCCCCATAACTCCCCTCCTTCCAGTTCCCGCCCCACCCTCCGCCCTCACTCCCCACCCACTGTCCTCATCCATAGGTGCCCGATTTTTGTCCAGTCTCTTCCCGCATCTCCCATTCCCCTTCCCTCCCCAAGAATAGTCAGTCCATTCCCTTTCTATGTCCCTGATTCATTATAATCACCAGTTCATTCTGTACATCAGATTATTTATTCACTCGATTCTTAGATTCACTTGTTGATAGATGCATGTTTGTTGTTCACAATTTGTATCTTTACCTTTTTCTTCTTCTTCCTCTTCTTAAAGGATACCTTTCAGCATTTCGTATAATACTGGTTTAGTGGTGATGAACTCCTTTAGCTTTTCCTTATCTGTGAAGCTCTTTATCTGACCTTCAATTCTGAATGATAGCTTTGCTGGATAAAGTAATCTTGGTTGTAGGTTCTTGGCATTCATCACTTTGAATATTTCCTGCCACTCCCTTCTGGCCTGCAAAGTTTCTGTTGAGAAATCAGCTGACAGTCATATGGGTATTCCCTTGTAGGTAATTGAGTCTCTTTCTCTTGCTGCTTTTAAGATTCTCTCTTTGTCTTTTGCTCTTGGCATTTTAATTATGATGTGTCTTGGTGTGGTCCTCTTTGGATTCCTTTTGTTTGGGTTCTCTGCGCTTCTTGGACCTGTAAGTCCATTTCTTTCACCAGGTGGGGGAAAGTTTTCTGCCATTATTTCTTTCAAATAGGTTTTCAATATCTTGCTGTCTCTCATCTTCTGGCACCCCTATAATTCTGAATATTAGTGCGCTTGAAGCTGTCCCAGAGGCTCCTTACACTATCTTCGTATTTT